GTATATCTTGTGAAAATTAATCTGGTGTAGATACATAGATTGCATTTGGATTACTGTTACAGTGCTATTTGGGTTGTTAATTGGATTCGTTCCGACATTTCTTGATTTCTTGTTGTGTTTTTTATTATTATTATTATTATTATTATTTGTACTATTGTTATTGTTGTTGTTATTGTTACTATTATTATTTGTGTACTTGTTAGACATTTACTGCATTGTCAGGAGCTAGTAACATAAGCATTTCACTGCACCTGTTATAACATCTGCTAAACTGTGTATGTGACCAATAGATTTTTATTTTCTATATTTATGTAGGATTATTGTGGAAAAACAACCAATTTTGAAGGCAGTTCTTCCACGAAAAACCCAATTTAACCATTAGGAATAATAGCTCAATATACTTTTTTGAGAAAACACATTTTAATCAATAAATATCTAACATTTTCTCTAACCTCAAATTATAAATTCTGCTCATATTTCTCACTAAACCAAATAGTAAAGATCCTTTATATGGCCTGTTAATTCTTAGTAAAATGTATGTACGCTTGGCATGGACTCGAGCATACAGTGGGGAAAAAAAGTATTTAGTCAGCCAACAATTGTGCAAGTTCTCCCACTTAAAAAGATGAGAGAGGCCTGTAATTTTCATCATAGGTACACGTCAACTATGACAGACAAATTGAGAAAGAAAATTCCAGAAAATCACATTGTAGGATTTTTTATGAATTTATTTGCAAATTATGGTGGAAAATAAGTATTTGGTCACCTACAAACAAGCAAGATATCTGGCTCTCACAGACCTGTAACTTCTTCTTTAAGAGGCTCCCCTGTCCTCCACTCGTTACCTGTATTAATGGCACCTGTTTGAACTTGTTATCAGTATAAAGGACACCTGTCCACAACCTCAAACAGTCACACTCCAAACTCCACTATGGCCAAGACCAAAGAGCTGTCAAAGGAACCAGAAAACAAAATTGTAGACCTGCACCAGGCTGGGAAGACTGAATCTGCAACAGGTAAGCAGCTTGGTTTGAAGAAATCAACTGTGGGAGCAATTATTATGAAATGGAAGACATACAAGACCACTGATAATCTCCCTCGATCTGGGGCTCCACGCAAGATCTCACCCGTGGGGTCAAAATGATCACAAGAACGGTGACCAAAAATCCCAGAACCACACGGGGGGACCTAGTGAATGACCTGCAGAGAGCTGGGACCAAAGTAACAAAGCCTACCATCAGTAACACACTACACCACCAGGGACTCAAATCCTGCAGTGCCAGACGTGTCCCCCTGCTTAAGCCAGTACATGTCCAGGCCCGTCTGAAGTTTGCTAGAGTGCATTTGGATGATCCAGAAGAGGATTGGGAGAATGTCATATGGTCAGATGAAACCAAAATATAACTTTTTGGTAAAAACTCAACTCGTCGTGTTTGGAGGACAAAGAATGCTGAGTTGCATCCAAAGAACACCATACCTACTGTGAAGCGTGGGGGTGGAAACATCATGCTTTGGGGCTGTTTTTCTGCAAAGGGACCAGGACGACTGATCCGTGTAAAGGAAAGAATGAATGGGGCCATGTATCGTGAGATTTTGAGTGAAAACCTCCTTCCATCAGCAAGGGCATTGAAGTTGAAACGTGGCTGGGTCTTTCAGCATGACAATGATCCCAAACACACCGCCTGGGCAACGAAGGAGTGGCCTGGAGTGGCCTAGCCAGTCTCCAGATCTCAACCCCATAGAAAATCTTTGGAGGGAGTTGAAAGTCCGTGTTGCCCAGCGACAGCCCCAAAACATCACTGCTCTAGAGGAGATCTGCATGAAGGAATGGGCCAAAATACCAGCAACAGTGTGTGAAAACCTTGTGAAGACTTACAGAAAACGTTTGACCTGTGTCATTGCCAACAAAGGGTATATAACAAAGTATTGAGAAACTTTTGTTATTGACCAAATACTTATTTTCCATCATAATTTGCAAATAAATTCATTTAAAAATCGTACAATGTGATTTTCTGGATTTTTTTTTCTCATTTTGTCTGTCATAGTTGACGTGTACCTATGATGAAAATTACATGAAAATTCATCTTTTTAAGTGGGAGAACTTGCACAATTGGTGGCTGACTAAATACTTTTTTCCCCACTGTACATTACTATAGAAAGCCAGTTGCTGCAACTAACTTCCTCCTGTGTGTCTGTGTGTGTGTGTGTGTGTGTGTGTGTGTGTGTGTGTGTGTGTGTGCTTACTTTACTTGTTTAGATCAGCTTGGTTTTAGTCTCTTATTGAGGATACTGTGTTAGTGTTATAATCACTAATAAACAAGTAAATACAATAAGTAACATACAGCAAAAAGTGCTGCCTTTTGTCCATTGATAAACACTTCATACATGTCAATGATGAATTTGTAAGGAAATCTGTCTTTATTTTTTTCTGATTGTCTTTCTCACCAAGTTGTACTGACACTTTTAGAGCCAACACCAGCTAATAAATACAATTAAATGTTAAAATGCACAATTGAATTTCAAATACAGGAAAAATGACGTCTGCTTCTGTAGGTTGAAATTGACTGGTGGTCTGAGTGACATTTGACTTGTGTCAAAGGGCAGAGCACCTCATGCAGCACTGGAGCTAAAACAATGATTTCTGCATAAATAATAATGCTACTAAACTGGACATTTACTCAAATCTGGCAGATGTGAGGTTTTCCTCCCAAGTCCAAACAGGCGACTTTTTGTTTGTCCGAATTTTGTCATTGTCGTTTTTTTTTCTAACAACAACTTCACATTAGGCAGTACTGAAAAAAGAACATTAATATCCAGTGCTTGTGATGCTTATAACACTCGAAACAATGTCTATGCATGAGGCAAACAGTATAACTCTCCTTTTTTTTGTAATGCAAGCTAAATCAAACTTCAGTCCAAACAAAAACGTTTTTTTCTACCAACCTGCAAAATATCGTTCGACATGGTCATAAAGAGTTACAAATCACATACAAAACAACCAGCAAACAGAGTAACACAAACCCTAAAATAGAGCTTGTAAAAGTAGACATATTTGCAAAGTGGAGATGGGCATATGAAAATAGGACTTTTATGGGTATGTTTTAATTTACTTGAAATATCCGTTTCAAAATATACATGCACTGCAGAAAAAAGTGTACCTTTTGAAATGCTAGACGTTATATTGACCCATGTGTTTTTGCCAACGTACCAATTTTACAAAAACAAAACATTGATTTGTATTTTGAAAACCACCTCTGACGGCAACATAATTGTAAACTGATCAATTCACAGAAACAAATCTGATCTTCTGTACCTCAGTATAATATAGTAAAGAAAATCTACATTTTAAACCCATAAATATATGGTGTCCCTACCATAGAAATTACTGTCTGGACCGCTCCTCTGCGTTTTCCTGTAATTCGGAATGACCATAGAACTAAGAGTCTAACTTTAAGACTTATTGTGCCTATTAAGATGTACTGTGTCGTTAACAAAATTTGCTGAGTCTGTATAACACATGTTATATTCACAAACTCTACACCAAACTTGAGCCAGGAAAAAATATTGCAAACCTAAAAGCCACTCCAGCTGAACGTCAGTGTACTGTAACAGTGTACCAAAATAACTTGTTTGATCCTTTTTGGCCCCTATGCATTATGGGTGAATTAAAGTGGAAGTTCAGGATTTTACAACTTGATGTTAGATGGTTCCTCACCATGAATATAGTCTATTGGCCAGGAAAAACTGTAATACATGGTTTGGTTTTCTCTAAACAGCCAATACAAACTTTAGTTGTAAATTCCTGAACCCCTTTAACATCCTGTATAAGATGTGGGCTAAGAAAAGGGAGGTGAAAACACTTGGGGCTAAACATCCACAGATTGATACTCTCTACAGGTCTGTGTCATTGCCAGAGGGGGTGCCAGAGATGACAGTATCAGACTCCTGAGACATTGCGACTGACGATGAGTGCTGGGGGGGTGGGTGATTTCTCCTAATATGGACACATCAGCAATAAAAAGTGATTGTATAAGACTTTTTGCAGCATCAAAATTAAGACTATAATATTTCAGAGGGATGTGAATGTAGGTTTGGCACATTTCAAGAAAAACTGTACAATATCTCAGAAAATAATAATAATATTAATAATAATAAAAGGGATTTTTCCCCCCGTTTCATTGTCAGTCTTAAAAGTCCTACCACTCTCTCATGAAATCAAAACCACATTCACAAGCTGGCACAGCATACCTGAGCAAGGATATAAAACCCCATCATAAACAGTAATGTAACATATTGTAAGCATTTGTTGAGAAAGGTGTAGATGTACTGTACTCATAAGAAATAATAATGTCAAACTACAATAGCTAAGGATTTATATTAACTTTCACATTTTCAAGTCCTGACAATCCAAGGTTTTACAGGCAGTAACCTATCAGGAAAATGTCCATGAAAATCAAAAACCCCACAAAAAAAGGTAAAGCATCATAAAAACTTCATCACACTTAAAATAAACATTTAAGACTGACAGCTGTTGAAGACCAATTCCTGATGTTTTTGTCAAATCCATGCACGCTCCTATAAAAAAAAGACACACAGAAATGTGTCTGTTATCGCTTTGTTCTAACTTCTCATCTCATTCTCTTCTCATCGCCCTTTTACTGACTCTTACTTGCTCTTGTCTGTGTTGCACTGTAATTGTTGTGTGAGTATGTTCACTGTCTATCTGTTAGATTGTCTGGAGGTTGTCTAGAGGTTGTCTTTGCCCAATCACTTTGTACGGGATTGTTCCGAGACCAAGAAGCGTTCTCGTCCAAAAAAGTATTTTGAGTAACATGGGCGGTCTGTGAGATCTGAGCATGTTCAGTTTATGTCACGTCCTGTCGAGAGTCAATCTGAGAATGCTCAGTCTGTGGTGCATCATATCCCGGACGGAGCTGCTTTGAGAACATGCTCAGCTTAAAAAAGTTCAAAAAGATAAGAAGTTATTCTGAGCGTGCTCAGTTGGCACTGACAGGCTCATGTGTCTCATGCTCACTGCTGTAGTCCGATTTATCCTCAAAGTCTTCATACATGTCTATCTCATCCTCTCCGTTGACCGGGTGGTCGCCGGTCACCATTGCGACTGGCTTGGGCTTGACCACGCCGAACGTGCTCTGGATGACGGGGATGGTGGGCTCGGGGCTGGCCGAGGCGCTGGAGCAGTCCGACGTCAGGTGCGGTGAGGGCGTGGCTGTCGCTATAGTGATGGCAGCCGGGTAGAGGCCGCCTGCACTGTTGCTGATGGGGATCTGAGGCTGTGGCCTGAGGTAGAGAGAGAGAGAGAGAGAGAGAGAGAGAGAGAGAGAGAGAGAGAGAGAGAGAGAGAGAGAGAGATAGAGCGAGAGAGCGATAGATAATAGATCGATCGCGCGATTCGCGATCCTCACCTAGCTCTACTACCACTCTCTCGCATCTACTCGCCCTCGCTACGCTCTCTCGCTCCTCTCTCTCCGACTTCGCGCGATCACGAGCCCTAAGAAGTGCAGTAGAAGTAGCAAGAGAAGGTAAGTGAGAGAGCGTGTAAGAGAGACAGATAGGGTGTTTTGGAAAAACAGATTCATTCTTTCCTGGCCTGCTTTTGAACAGCTATTTATAACAAGTTGAACAGTAGCTAACTCTTGTCTTTCGGGCAAACCTTAACACATAGCTTTTGCCAGCACACAGTAGTCCTGTCAACGTCAGCTAAATAGCCTCTTGAGAAATGGATGGAATGAAGGTAAACGCATATCACTCAAGCAAGCCCTCTGGCTCCTCAAATGAAGCACATAAACCAAGAAAATGGATGTCAGTTTCCTCACCTAACAGTTCCCCCCTTCTAGAAACAATTACCGCAGAGAACATGGACAGACTAATTTTCACATTAAACTGCTTAAAAACGACCCTGTTTCATTATACGGAGCCTGGTCGAAATTGGTCATACCTCAACTTATAGCTCCTCCCCAGTTATTTGATTCAGTCCTGAGTGAAACTCCAGTCGCTATGGTGAATCAGGCTTTTCTTTTGCTTGACCACACACACTAAATTACAGAGTTAAACTCTCTCTCTCTCTCTCTCTCAAACATCTGCTAGTATAATTTCTACCGCCCGCAAGGGCCTGCCATTGTCCTAATTTAATAAATGACAACTATTAAAAATCACTCCAATTCAAAGCTGTGCCCCTGGTAAATCCATTTAAACGTGGCCTGCCGTGATGACTTTAATCACATCTATGCCTGTTTTCTATTAAGACCAAGCCACTGGCTTTGGCTGAATCCTAAAAGGCACCCTATTCCCTATATAGGTCACTACTTTTAACCAGGGCCCATACTGTAGAGCTTTGGTCAAAACTAGTGCACTAATTCGGGAATAAGGTGCCTTTTGGGGCACTGCCTTGTTCTCAGCATTGCCTGCAGTTTGACATGAGAGGATGAGAAAAGCCTTATGATAAAGAGACCTTGTTATCTTTAAACTAGTAGTTTGGATTACAAATTCAGCACTATTGCTTGAGGGAAATAGTCAGAGTCAGTACTGGGTGCAGTACTGTACAAATACCAACTTTCCCTTAACAAAATGATTAGGAGCAGTTGATTCAAGTATTCCAATTCGAAAATGGGAGCCGTCCATGAAAAAATATTTTAAGAGATAGTTGATACCATGATCAGTTTGCTTAACTCTATTAGCTTAGTATTAAAGTGACCAATAATTATTTACAATATGAGTTAAATAATTTTACTTTAATTAAGTATGTTAAAAATCTGTCTTTCTGTGTTTGAATGGTGTGGGTGTACCCCAACAACAGAATTATGTGGGTGTATACCGGTAATAAAAAATATGCATGACAAGTAACGGCTGGTTGGCCAGCTCAGTCAATGAGCCAACGCAATGTCACGCTATATGAGGAAATAGCAAGCATTTTTTGAAACAGTCTGTTTGATATACAAGTTTAAGGTGAGGTTTTGGAAGGTTTTTTTCACTAATTAATGCTTTGGCCACAAATACGAGTATAGGATGAGTCAACCACATTATTTGGGTATGAGTTAACAGAACATGAACCTTTAAAAGTGAGATTTTCACTGGCCAGTTACTTTAAAGGGTATTACTCCAAAATCAAAGTTTGTCAGATGTTTTCTGACCTCAAAAGTAGTCTAATGTCAAGATGAATCCACGTATCACATCATCGGTTGTGTATGTCCAGCTATAGTCAAATGAATAAAAAATATCTCTTTGTTCTGGAAATATGGAAATGACATGCTCAATTTACAAAACAAATGGCCTGGGACATGGACTTATCTCAACAGAAGACCACTTTTGAGGTTTGATCAACTTTGATTTTGGAGTGTAATGTCCCTTTAAGTATACTAACAGATAACCTAGTTAGCCTAAAGACTGTACAACAGTCAATCAGAAGAGTGTCTCTCTCTTCTTACCCCACACTGAAGAACTGCCTCATCTCCTGGCGCCGCGAGCGCATCATCTGCTTGTACTCGCCAATGCGCAGCTTCTTGCCGTCGATGATGCAGGTCCTCTTGGGCCGGGGCTTGTACTTGTAGTTGGGGTACTTCTCCAAGTGGATCTTACTGAGATGGGCCTGTTCCTCGTAGTATGGCTGCTTCTCCTGGTTGGTCATGGACTTCCAGCGAGAGCCTATACACGGATAGCGGGACACACACACAGCAAGAGTCAGGGTTGGAACCCAAACTACAGCGTAAGGACACACACACACACAAACACACTCATGTGTGCACACACATACTCGCGCGCACACACACGTGCACGCGCACACACACTGAAGGACACTATTAGGGTATTGATGTTCGTAGAGTGTATTGGAGTTGGTGTTCATAGAGTGTATAGGAGTCAAAGTTTGTCAAGTATAGTATGGGTGGGGGGTATCGATACAGTTACATATCGCAATGTAATTTTTCAACAATATTATATCGATATTTGACTCCAAGTATCGATTTGTAAAAATAAATAAGTAGTTATTTTTTGCTACTGTAGGTAGCGTTAATGAGCGCTAGTCGGCTGTACCTGCGCCAAAACTCCGGTATTTTTCATCCTATAGCTTGTTCTTTAATTTTCTTTTTAAATAATGAGCCAAAATTTGCTCTACACATTTATTTCCCTGACTGATCAAAACTAATTTTCTCCTGCTCTCTCTCGTCTCTCTGCAGCAGACATATCGTGAGCAATATGTTTGGAACATCAAATCGCAATAAAATCACAGTATCGAATCGCAATACATATAGAATCGTGAGAATCGCAATAAATATTGTATCGGTACCTAAGTATCGTGATAATATTATATTGTGAGGTTCCTGGCAATTCCCACCCCTATCTTATAATGTGGTTCAATTAGCCATTGAACCTTACGAGACAGCGCTTCCACTGCACTACATTTTATAATAGTAGGAAATCTCTTCAAGTAGGAACTTGTAATATGAGAGAGACTACTAGTGCATCTACACTGTTGAAGTGTGCTTGAAAACAGGAATCTGTCCCTCTTCAGGATCCCTGATACATTGTGTTCTCATCATGTCTCTCCTATAAGCACCCAGCTGACGGAACAAGTGGACAGGACCGTCACCGCAGGAATGGAGCACATCTGCGTGGCTTTCTGACAACCCATTATACACACACCACAGCTAGAACACACACAGAGAGGAATCCAGGGCTGCGTCCCAAATGACACCCTATTCCCTATTTAGTGCCCTATTTAGGGTAAAGGGTGCCATTTGGAGCGTAAACCCAGGACTCTGTTTACCAACGTTTATCGAGACTCCCTCCTTTTTCAACTAAGGAAACAGTGAGGTCCTTTTTTTTTTTTTTTTTTTGCCTAACGCGGCTGCATCGTGTCCCTCGTCTCCAGCTGTGTTATTGTGTTTGGGCAGCACACCCTCCATCGTCTCCTGATCGCCTCTCAGGTCTGGTGTTTCCCTGGTGTCACCACAAACAAACCGCTAACTAGGTAAATATCCGGAATGTTCAGTCTCCGCCGGATAGGAGGAAGTGATAGGTGACCTCTGACCCTTTACATTTGACCCCAACTTTGAGTGATGAGGTTTGAGCTATCCAATGCTTTAGAACCCTCAAACTCAACTCTGGACCACGAAGCCAGTTCCACTGAGTTTTTTCATATTTGCCCTCCTAATCAGGGACTGATTTAGACCTGTGACACCAGGTGGGTACAATTAATTAGAAAACCAGCAAGCTCCGGACCTCGTAGGGTAAGAGTTTTAGAATGATAACTTCAGTGATATTGAACAATGGTCTATGTATATGACGGATGAGCAAAGTGCAAAGATTGTATTTCTTTAATACAGCGTTCAGTTTGCCTCAATTCATTTAGCGAGTAAAGTCACTTGACACCGTTTGCTCAACGGCAAACATTTTGGCCTAGTGCAGGGGTCGACAACCTTTATTACTGGAAGAGCCATTTTTTCCATTAAAAAATTTTTTTTTGAGGGAGCCGCACAAGACAATATCTGACAATATCTGATATTCAGCACCCCGGATAGCAGTCTGATCAAATTACCACAAAATCTGACATTCAGGGTCACAGAGCAGTGGACACAGTGGCTGTCTGTTGAAGTTGCAAGGAGAAACGAATCTCGTGAACATGCTACTGTAGTGATGTTACTTTTTGATTTAAAAACCGACCAACGAAGGAAATGTTGTTGTCCAGTGATTAACTGAAATACCTACATCAAGCCCCGCAAGAAATTGAATAATGAAACACAGATAAACAAGTATTATAAGGTAAACGGAAGGTTTGATTGTAATAAATATGTATTAAAGGCCTACTGCTTTAACTTAAAACAAAGTGTTGTCTGTTTCTTTACCTTATTTTTATAATTACAATTCTAAAACTCTAAAATGCTATTTGGAGAACAGCAAAAACAAGCAAAAACACTATTATTGCACACAGAGTGAGTCCATGCAACTTATGTGACTTGTTAAACACATTTTTACTCCTCAACTTATTTAAGCTTGTCATAACAAAGGGGTTGAATACTGATTGACTCAAAACATTACAGCTTTTCATTTTTCATTAATGTCTAAAAACATAATTCCACTTTGACATTATGGGGTATTATTGTGTGTGTAGGCCAGTGACAATAACTCTCCATTTAATCAATTTTAAACTCAGGCTGTAACACAACAAAATGTGGAAAAGTCAAGGGGTGTGAATACTTTCTGAAGGCTAGTATCAACACAAGAAGCGCTTTTCACTGCACATCTCCATCACCCCAGTCAGAGTCTCACAGTGGAGCTCTGTGTGTGTGTGAGAGAGAGAGAGAGAGTTCTCTGGGTGCGTGTGACTTCTATACTGAACTTTGTAAGAGGGAGATATGTTATTTATTCTAATATGAATGATTCAATAAGATCAGATTAACCGATTGATTGGTAGATTTACAATATTTTGAATACATCATTGAATGTTTAGGTGGACGTGGGGGATAGTGGTAACGCTTTCAGTTGCTGTTTCATATGGCAGTGTTGTTTCAAATGAGACCCTCTTAAAACATGACATAGCCGCACATGCGATGGAAAGCAAGCACACAGTGTGCACAGTTACCCCTTATGCCCTCTATAAAAGAGCACGCCTACACCCTAGCTGCACGCCTACACCATCTTACTCAGGATTACCCTATGAACTGTGTATGAGCTGACCAGTGGGGGAAGGCTCAGTGACTGACGGCTCAGTCAGTTTGAGGGTGGGTGCTCGTAACACCAGAATTTAGGATTAAGTCACCGCATAGGCCACATACACTGAGATTACGTTCCAATTTTTTTGGAGGGGGTTAAAGACTCCAGTCACCCAAGTCATAGACTGTTCTCTCTGCTACCGCACGGCAAGCAGTACCAGAGCGCCAAGTCTAGGTCCAAAAGGCTTCTCAACAGCTTCAACCCCCAAGCCATAAGAGTGCTGAACAATTAATCAAATGGCCACACGGACTATTTACAATGACCCCCCCGCTGCTACTCGCTGTTTATTATCTAAACAGCATAGTCACTTTACCCCTACCTAAATGTACAAATTACCTCGACTAACTTGTACCCCCGCACATTGACTCAGTCCTGTGTAGCTCAGTTGGTAGAGCATGGTGCTTGCAACGCCAGGGTTGTGGGTTCGTTTCCCACGGGGGACCAGTATGAAAAAATGTATGCACTCACTAACTGTAAGTCGCTCTGGATAAGAGTGTCTGCTAAATGACTAAAATGTAATGTAAATGTACCTCGTTATTGTGTTACTTTTTATTTTAAGTTTATTTAGTAAATATTTTCTTAACTCTATAAAGCACGGTAAGGTCTACACCTGTTGTATTCTGCACATGTGACAAATACAATTTGATTTGACTGTGTCCCAATCCGGGATGATTTGCAATGTTTTCACACTCAAAACCGCTAAATTGCTGACTGTGGAAAATCAATCCACTTAATCTTTGCAACTGAAAGACCCTGTATGACCATAACAAGGCCACGGTATATGGAGGGCATATAATTTTTTTTTTTATATATATTTTTGACACTTCATTCAGACAGTAAGGAAATCAAACGGGCATGTGGGAGAAACAGTGAGAAGGATGGACGCCGGGATTGAACCCTGGTCTCCGGTGTGGAGTTTTATATGCGACATGCCAGGGAGTGTTACCGCTTGACCACAGCTCTGCCATCTTACCCAGGATTTTGCTGATATTGGAATTGTGCATGTCGGGGAAGGTCTGCAGGATCTTCCTCCTCTCGTCCTTGGCCCACACCATGAAGGCATTCATGGGCCTCTTAATATGGGGCTCAGTACTGTTCCTGCCCCTGGTCTCCCTGAAGACCCGGGCCTCCGTAGTGCTGGCGACACCTGTGGGAAGGGAGGGACATTTCATGACTTACTCAATCGCTCACTCGTTCGTGTAAAAACCCATTAAGCCATTAGTACATATACTGCACAGTATGTCTAAGAGCATGGCCTCCAGACAGTGAGGGAGGGGACAACTGAAAGGCAAGAGATGGGTAAAGAATATATGTGTGCGTGTGGTGTGTGTGTGCACGCATGCGTGCGTATGTGTCTGTGCACTTGTGTGTTACAGAAATGAGGGGGGCCTGCGTCTACTCTACACAGAAGAGCATAAATAGGGATGGACCCGCTCGGTTTGGTCGCCGTCAACGACGCTCTGATTATCAGCCAGATAACATCTCTGTTTACGGTCCTGTGTTTATGGCTCTGATTTCAAACTACAGCGTGATGAATGCTTCCCAATCCACCGTAACCTGTAAACACTGGGGGTTTATAGAAAACAGGTGGGTTCTGAGCCGGAAAATATAAAAAACCCAATTCCGTTTTAACTGCCTTGCTTCTGTTTGCATACTTCGGCAGGGTGGAATTGTCTGAGACACAAACAGTGTTAGTGGGTTGGAAAGATGGGGAGAATCTAGAATACCACTTCTCGCCGTAGACGTAAGAAGCCCACTGCAAAATTGTGTTGTATTAAAGGTCCTTAATTCGAAAAACAAAACGGAGGGCCCGCCACTTGGTTTGGTATAAAGCTCAGGGGCTGTGATGGGGTTAATAAACTAATCTCATGAGGCCTTAAGTGATCGAAAAAAGCTGTAAATATCACAGAGTGGGCCTATAAGTACAAGGCAGGGGTTTGGAAAACATTGTGCCTTGACTAAGGCATTCCGAGAAGAACACAATAAATATTTGGGTCTGGTGAATACCTGTGTGCAGAGCAGACTATCTCTCTGTCCGTTTCTCTACCATAGGGAACACAGTTGAAAGAGGCCCTAAAAAGTGGCGCTATCTAACCAAGGGCCCCAAGTGAAGGGTCACTAGCATCCATTTAGCCTGAGCAGGATGTGCCCACTTTTACCTCAAACCTAACCTCTTTTCCTGTCTTTTAAATATCCGTCTGACCCTCTCTCTTCTCTTCTCCTCTGTTCTTCTACTATTATGCACCAAGCCATACAACGGCAATGTATTCTTATACACATTCATATAAACATGGATGGTAAGCATACACACAGTCATAAACATGAACCAGAACATACTGTACTGTACAGAATGCACTTACATAAAAGTATGGAGAACTGAAAGAGATCGTTGTGTATGTAGAACTTTAAGAAGATGGAAAGAAAGGGAGAAATATATATTTTTTTCATTTTGAAACAAAGAAAGAAAATATTATTTAGACATTTTGAAAGAAAGAAAGAAAAAATAGAAAAAAAGAAAAAAGACGGAACTCACCATGAACATCCTCAGGTCTGGTAAGGTCAATGACCCTGTGGCCGATCTTTCCATCCTCTCCCAGGTGCTGACTCAAACTCTCAAAGTGCATCCGCTCCTAAAACACAAAGAGGTCAAAGGTCAATAAGGGTTGATTCACACTACGGAGCAAAGCCAAGCGAGCCGAGCCGAGCTGTATAAAGCTGCCCTGGTTTATGCATGCATCATAGTTGTTGGAACCATGCTGGAAAGGACAATGTGAAATGAAATATACAGTTTGGGTCTGCCTAATAGTGTGAAAATGCTATTAAGAGTCCAATTAAACTAACTGTAAAGCTGTGGTATAAGAGCTCAGAGAGAATAACACAATCATCACAGAACACACATTTCAAAGAATTTCAGCAATTTAGCAAACATACACATCAAACATCAAAAGTTTCAGTCTTCAATGCGTAGCTGTTTGCATTGTAATTTGGGCGTCTTTGGATCAAAGGTCTTGTTCTTCTTTGTGATCTTAGAGTGGGTCTATATGATGAGGTCTGTGCTAATGATCGTGTAACGAACTCAAGTCATACTTTCTCACACACTGCTTTCGGCGAGAGGCAAGAGTTGCAAAAGACAACCATTCCAGCTTAGGGGAGATAGAAAGGAGGTTTTGAGAAAAGACAGGATAGAAAGAAGAAGAGAAGAGAACAGGATAATAAATTAAGTAAAATAATAAAATAAAATGAAGAGAGAGAGAGAGAGAGAGAGAGAGACAGAGAGAGAGAGAACGGGAGAAAGTGAGAGAGAGAGAGAGAGAGAGACAGACAGAGAGAGAAAGCGAGAGAGAGAGAGAGAGACAGAGAGAGAGAGCGAGAGCGAGAACGGGAGAAAGTGAGAGAGAGAGAACGAGAGAGAAAGACAGAGAACGGCACCCCAAAAATTATTTACAGCCACAGAAAAGACAATACGCGAGATCTACCCAGCACAGCGCTACCATGTAAGCTGCCTCTGACTCGATGCTCCCCACCCATCCTGCCTACTGTCTCTGATTACCCTGCACTGCCCACCCTTCCGCCCGCTCCTTCAAATGAGTCCACCACACTCCCAAACTGTGGTGGAAAACAAGGGCCTCCACAATCACCACGCATCCAGCTTTTCTCCTCCTCCTCCTCCTCCTCCCCGTTTTCTGGTGACAGACATGTTTTATAGACCATTCCTCCATACAGAATATTTTCAGATCCTTGATATCCTTCGTCTGCATGTATGGACTGCCCGCTTCAATTCAAAACAAAGGTTTTCAATGGGATTCAAGTCTTGAGATTTTGTGGTCAATTAACAATTTCTTTGTGCATTTTGATGTGTGCTTGGGGTTGTTGTCTTGCTGGTAGATCCACTTCTGGCCAAGTTTCAGGCAGAGGCAACCAGGTTTTTGGCTAAAAGTCCTGGTACTTGGTAAAGTTCATGATGCCGTTGACCTTAACAAGGGCCCCAGGACCAAAACAGCCCCATAACATCAAAGATCCACCACCATATTTTACAGTAGGTATGGGGTTCTTAGCTATCTGCTTATGCATTCTAATTTCAATGCCAAACCCACCACTGGTGTGTATGGCCAAAAAGCTATATTTTCATGTCATCCAACAAATGTAAATGTCTGGAGTTTGCTAAACGGCATTGGCACTTGGATTGAAACCAGTGCTATTGTCAGATTACATGAAAATTCACATCAACGGGGCTGTAGTGGAGCAGGTTGAGAGCTTCAAGTTCCTTGGTGTCCACATCACTAAGGACCTATCATGGTCCAATCAAACCAACACAGTTGTGAAGAGGGCCCGACAACGCCTATTCCCCTTCAGGAGGCTGAAAAGATTTGGCATGGGACCTCAGATCCTCAAAAAGTTATACAGCTGCACCAACAAGAGCATCCAGACTGGTTGCATCACCGCTTAGTATTGCAACTGCTCGGCATCCGACCACAAGGCGCTACAGAGGGTAGTGAGTACGGCCCAGTACATCACTGGGGCCGAGCTTCCTGCCATCCAGGACCTCTATACCAGGCGGTGTCAAAGGAAGGCCCTATAAATTGTCAAAGACTCCAGCCACCCAAGTCATAGACTGTTTTCTCTGCTACCACATGGCAAGCGATACCAGAGCGCCAAGTCTGGGACCAAAAGGCTCCTTAACAGATTCTACCCCCAAGCCATAAGACTGCTGAACAGTTAATCAAATGGCCACCTGGACTATTTGCATTGACCCCCTTATTTTATTATTATTTTTTGCACTGACTCTCTTGCACAAGCTCGATGTACACTCACTGGACTCTAACCACACACTCACACATACTACACTGACACTCCAACACACACGTGGACACACACAAAGCATATACACACACACATGCATATTGACGCCACACACACACACACACACTCCTTCACACTCTTCACATACGCTGCTGCTACTCTCTGTTTATTACCTATGCATAGTCACCTTACCCCTACCTACATGTACATATTACCTCAATTACCTCGACTAACCTGTACCCCTGCACATTGACTCGGTATCGGTACCCCTTGTATATAGCCTAGTTATTGTTATTTGTTATACAGACAATAAAGATACAATGACTTGAGAGCAGTGCATGCATAGAAACTGAAGAGGCCCATTTCAATACTTTTTAATACTTACAGAAAATTAGGAAACAGTCTACAGGACTAACTCAAGATCAAATCAGCACTCACCAAAAAGTCCCCAAAAAGTAATTTAGGACTTAATCTGTACCAGGACTCAGTATGGCAGCAGGCCTAAAGTCAAAAGTCCAATGTGGTCGCTCGTAAATTACAACAATGACGAATAATCGACATTAGCTACATTGTTCAAAGCTATAAAATAACGTTATATATTGTTACTTTACGGGACTGAGGCTTGTCCAAAATTCAACTCGATCTATATCGGAACTTAAAGAGACACACAGAGCTCCTCTATTGCCTAGGCTCTCCTGCACTCGTTGACTGGGCACACGTTTCAACGGATTGCTATGGCAGCCCTATAAACACTGCGCCGGCCGAGCAGTTTTATCAGCGTCGTTTTGAGCTCATTACCGCGGCGACGCGTACAGGCAAACCCTGCTCTAACCGACCCACAAATGTTTACTGCCTCCTCCAGGAGCAGTGAAATCCCTCACTCCTCCTTCCCTCCGTCCTTTCCTCTGCCTGTCATCTTTCAATACAGACGCCTTGCCCTGTTGTACATTGAAACTGAAGGAGCAGTGAAGTCCCTCTACCCTCCCTCCTACTCCTCCTCTCCCTCCTTCCGACCTTCTTTCACTCTGCCTGTCATCTCTCAATACAGACGCCTTGCCCTGTTGCCCATTGAAACTGAAGGAGCTTACGCCTACCCTATTTCTAAAATAGTATACATAGTGTTGTATAAATATAGTGGGACAGTGACAATTTTGTTGTTGTTTTGGCTCTATACTCCAGCACTTTGGATTTGAAATGATACAATGACTATTAGGTTAAGGTGCAGACTGGCAGCTTTAATTCAAGGGTATTTTCGTCCATATCGGGTGAATCGTTTAGAAATTACAGCACTTTTTGCATATAGTCCCCCCATTTTAGGGGGCCAAACGTATTGGGACAAATTCACTTGATGCATATTTTAAAGTAGTCAAAAGTTTAGTATTTGGTCCCATATTCCTAACACGAAATGATTACATCAAGCTTGTGACTCTACAAACGTGTTTGATGCATTTGCTGTTTGTTTTGGTTATGTTTCAGATTATTTCGTACCCAATATAAATGCACTTTAACCTCATTGTCATTGTATCATTTCAAATCCAAAGTGCTGGAGTAGAGAGCCAAAAAAACTAAAAATGTGTCACTGTCCAAATAATTACGGCGGGCACTGTATCTATAGGCCTTGAATTTGGACATCAACGCTAACGCAAAAGTACTTATACATGATTTAGCGCAAAAACTATTAGACGCATACAACCAATGACAATGCGCACCATAACACCCTGTGAATAGCACTACAGACAAAAGAGACTGCTGTGTGGTGACTGGCCTGACTTGACTCAAGTCATCCACATTCTAATGTTCTCCTCAACTGTCCCTCCTTTCCCTGTAGTGTGGCACACAAAAGAGCTGGTGTAACGTACTTGAGTAGTCCTGACAGCTGATGTCAACTACCGACAGAGTTAAGTGGGCTTAGTGACAGGGGCGTTCAAATAAAGTACTAGTCCTCTCCTGAGTAGGACGCACTAATGCTCTATTCAAGGGCAGCTCGCTTGCTCAAAACTGGCCTAAACTTACTCCACACACAAACACTTTCTCTTTCACACCCACGCACTTACACTCAGTGGCTATTTCAGTGTGCTTGCTTGGCAGCATAAGCGTAACGTGATACTCCACAATGCCACTTGCTGGACATAGCTAGCGTCTGTGCGCAAGAGGAGCTATAATGACATTAGCATGGCTAAGGCCAGCCCACTGCCAGGACACAAAACTGGAGCCAAAGTCAAACAGCAACAGAAAGAGGAGACCTGGATCACTTTCAGTAGTAGAACGTATAGAGAAGGGAACTGTGCTTAAATTGAACGATGACTAAGGAGAAGGCCAGCACATGCATGCATACAGACACATACACCATCAGCATTGCTCCATATACAGTTATACCACACACTCTCTCCAACCCAAGGTGTAGTATAAGAACACATTCATCTGTGTGGATACCTCACTCAATCTCTTATAGCTGAGATCGGAGGTGGATCACGTGTTTCAGTAGTTTCATACTGTCTAATCTAATGTATATCTAAAGAATGTCTATAAAATGTCCCCAAAATTGCAACAAATATTGCTAGAAAAATGCTTTTCGAGAAAGCTTGATGCTCAGACTCAAATACAGAAGTGGATCATCTCCATTTAATTGTACAGTGGTACAATTTTGCAGAATGGAGGAGGTGAGTCATGAATTGACTAAGACAGATACAGTCCTATGAGTGGCTAAAAAATGCTCCCTTTTTACAGAAAAAGGATACATTTAAAGCTAAGAAAAGAAAGCTTGAGGAACCGTTGTTAGGTAACGAATAACACTGAACTACAAACACTGGCCTGCCGTGTTTTAGAACCGGAAACAATTACTTTGAGGGATTCCAAATGAGCATTTTATTAGGAGGAATGGAGCCATAAAGTAAATTGCTGCATCTCTCGGTTTGTTCTTATAAAGCCAGAAAATATAGTATTGGTACATGTGAGAGCGGAACAGAGAAATGCACAAGAAACTCACCTAAAAACCTGTTGTTCACAATAAACCAAGCTTCATTTGATCATTTAAAGGCCCAGTGCAGTCAAAAATGTGATTTTCTTGTGTTTTATATATATTTCCACACTATGAGGTTGGAATAAAACTGTGAAATTGTAAAAATTATGATAATGCCCTTTTAGTGTAAGAGCTGTTTGAAAAGACAACCTGCGGGTGGCAGGTACCTTAGTGGGTAAGAGTGTTGTGCCAGTAACCGAAAGGTCGCTGGTTCTAATCCCCGAGCCGACTAGGTGAAAAATCTGTCGATGTGCCCTTAAGCAAGGCACTTAACCCTAATTGCTCTGGATAAGAGTGTCTGCTAAATGACTGAAAAATGAAATTTCAGCCTGTTTTGGTGGGATGGAGTTTTGGCCTGCCTGGTGACCAATAATATACCATAATTTATAGACCAATAAGAAAGAGAGTTCCAAACCTCTCTGCCAATAAGAGCTAGATTCAGTTTTCCCCTTCCCACTCAGACCAGTCCCAGACAGTCATAGCAAAATTCTTGCTTGAGAAACTGCTCTTTGCTAAGCATTCTTTTTTTCTTTTTGACCATTTTAATTGAAAACAATCATTAAGGTACTTAATTGTTACCCAGAAATGATTTGATATTGAGATGAAAATGGCTGCATTGGACCTTTAAGATAATTGACACATTTAGACGTTTCGATTAGGATCATGTAAACCCATCTATAAAAACACTGATAAATAGCAGCATATTTTACCACTTTAAGCTAAACAAACAACTCCCAATCAAAAACAGATATCCTAGTAGGTTGTGTTTAATATGTACAGTAAGCTTGACCTAGTTGGGGCTGTGGCTGAAGGGGTTCAAAGTATCCATTGCTAAAATATTAATTATTTATCTTTGCTTTCCTCCTTCCTCCCTGCCAACATTGGGATCAATCAATCCCTTCGGAAGATGGCAGGATAATTTCTTCTTTTCAAAATGTATTTTCCCTTGCTCCTATCCATGATTGACGGATCTGATTGATATTTGGAAGATATTTTTTTACATGGGGGGGGGGGGGGGGGTTGAATGCCCTCTGCCCAGACTGAGGTTCTAATTGGGTACAGACCTCCGAGGCAGAAATCCCCAAATGGCAAGAGAAGAGGAACTGCTGGACTCAACGCCCACCCCCCCTGCTTCACACACATACACACACTCAGACATGCACACGCGCACACACACATGCACACACCCACACAAAGACAGAGACACACACGGCCCAGTTGCCGGCTGTTCAAAGCAGTTGGCTTCTGGGTGGCCATGTGGACAAGAAGGAAGAGAGGATCTCAAGAGCACTGGCCAGGGTTCCAGGGCAAAAGGCAGACAACATTATTTCCCTTTACAGTACATGCATGAGAGGAGAAAGTGACAGAATGACAGAATTGTGCTTGCCCTGTGTCAATCTGAGAATGAATTTATAGTAGAGTATGTAAGAAGACAAGTGTACATTGTTCAGGCATCTGTCTGCATTGTGAGCCAAACCGAGGATAATAGTGCTAATTAGATAGTAGCTAGTGTGTGTGCTTGTGTGTGTGTCTTTATCTGTGTCGTGACTAACCTTGCTGCCATTGCTGAAGCTAATGCCGCTCAGGGCCGTGAGCTTGGCTTCCAGGCTGTGCTGCTGGTGATGAAGCTGTTCTCTCTGAATCTGCTCCCTCATGTTCCTCGCCTCCTGGATGGCGTTCATCACTGCATCCTGGTCCCCAAACAGTGCTGTGGAGTTCAGGCTGGACAGGATGTCTGTGGGCGGGAAGCATTGACCCCGTCAGTATCTGATTGTGACGGACACAGCGGCAGACCAATCGGCATCATTGCTGTACGTGACCTCAATGGAAAAAATCTAGACGAACGTCTGATTCCAAATGGACACCTAGCTCCTACTCTCTAGACATGCGTAGAGCTGAGAGGATCGGACAAGTGTAAGCAATATAGCAAAAATTGTGCCTAGACTATCAGAAGGCGAGGTGGAGCTGTTACCATATTGTGTTTACATATCCAGCTCTTTCAGATCTACACATGTGCCTAGGTGGTAGAGGCTAGGGGTTTATTTGGGGTTAGAAAATGAAAGACTCCTCTGGACATTATATTTTTTCCAATTGCAGTTTCTCTACAAGCACCCACAATTCCAGTATGTTTTTGAAGCTTCTATGTAAATAAAAAAAAATTAAAAGGCGAGAAATAGCACATAGGAAGGAACACAAGTGAAGTGGCGCGTCCTCAAAGCCTCTCTAGAGGAGCTAGCAAAATTGTTTCACCGTAATGAGAGGCTTTAGATTGGGCTTAATCACAGATAGCAGAGGTAGAGCATAAATGTTTATGTTACAGGGCAGACAATGATGTGAGGAAGGTCTCCTTTGGGGTTGAAATCTCATGACTCGAACTGGCGGAGGATGCTTGGATTGTTTTTATGCAGTGTGAAGGTGTTTGTGTGCATTTACATGTGTACCTAATGTGAGTGTTTGCGCATGCATGTGTGTGTGTGTGTTCACTGTACCCACCCAGTGAGCCCCTGCCCATGTTGGAGAGGGGGCTGGGGATGCGCCCCTTCCCCAGGCTGATGGGCCTGCTCTTGTTGCCAGGGTACAGGCTGTGTGACGGCGAGGATGGGGAGTGGTGGGGCTCGCTAGTCTTGGGTCGGGCTGAGAGATTCAGGGGCTGCGTCGATCCTTCCTCCTGGGGAAGATAGAAGAAAGAGTGGCGAAGGCTGAAAACACACCATGGACCTGTTACATGGGCAAACACAAATATTTTGACGGTGTTATGAAGGAATTATAACAAACTGCTTTAAGTGAAGACCTGGTGAAAAACTTGGTTGTTGGTTGGAGAGTGTGTATAATGTGTTTGAGAGTGCGAGAGTGCTTTAAGCCTTTTGTGGTGTTCCCCAGGGCACTGTGTTGGGACCGCACATTATTCAGAGGAAGGAAAAATAAAGCTACACAGCTATGCTTTGAACCTCAGATTGCTACCCGATCAGGTCTTTACTCAATTATCCCCCCTCTCAGGTTGTGGCCATTTATAAATACATTTGATCATTCCGATCCAAAATACAGGGCTCTGTACTGTTCACCACTCCAGCGCTCAAATTGAAACGTCTAAGTCCTTAACTATCTCATCATCCAGTTCTGTTGAAAAAAAGCCAATGGGACTTTTGTTGTGGCGTCTCCTCCTCACTTTCTTAATCAAAGGTTCATGACCATATCGCCTCACATTGAGTTTGTGAGAAATCCCTGGAAGGGGATAACAACTGGAAAAGAAGTAAGCATGTCAACACCGCCTGACTGGGCCTCTTGTGTGGTGAAGGGTACACTAACAAACATGGATTTAATTTGGAACCGGTCTTGAGGAGAGGAGAAGGAACGTGATTTGGGAGGCTGGGGGATGGGTGGGATGCCAGTGTGATGGGTAGCGAGAGTGGAAAGGGGTTAGAGAAGGGTGGAAGTTCCAAGGCCAGAGTACTACTGTAGAGCTGCGGTGAGTTCTGACACTGGTCTATTGTAATGCTGGTTGCAGCGACCCCACATAGACACATGGCTCCCATTATTGCCTCGTCGAGTCAAGATCATGAGTATGCTCTCGAGCTCACTCCAGTGAAGATGTCTGAGCCCATGCCAAACAGCAGCCAGTGCCAATGACTCTGTGTGTGTCTCTGTGTGAGCGCATACATGTTCATTCCCTTTCACTTGAATCATTGCTTCAGTCAGTGATTCATAGATAACCAAGGCCCAAAACAAAACGCACAATGTCAAGCATAAAGGGATGGCTCACCTTAATGTGAGTGACAGGACTCAATGCTCTCTTCTTACTCTTCAAGGCAGAGGGCGAGAGGGGGCCTGAGGAGTTGGGAGGCTGCAGCAGGGAGCCCATTTTGGCTCCGGGTGAGATCTGCATGCTGGCCAGCTGGGCGGCGTACAGCTGCTACAAAGGGAGGAAATAGGGAAACCGACAAGTTATTAACATCAGCAGCCAGCCGCTAGTCGGACGCTTGCTTCCCGCCTCCTCTCTCTTCATGTCCCAGTGTGTCTTTTTCTAATCTCTGTCTGGCACAGCTCCTGTCTACAATGTGATGTGTGTGTCAGAGCCAACCACACACACAAACACACACAGAAGTATACGCGAACATAAAAACACACAAACACAATTCTGAGAAAAAACGCACTTGTCTTTAGTTGATCGGGTTGAAGCTGGAATGAAAAAGACAACTGTGAGCATTGTTGGAGGAATGTGTTTGTTTATCAAGGTTGGGTTCCAGAGAAAGCACATTTAACTCAAATCAGCGACAATCTATCTACGACGCCGATTCATTCAACAGATGCAACAGAGGGGCTTGCGTATTGATTAATATCAATGCTTGGATCCAGTTTGAGGTTTTGAGTGTTCCTCAAAACTTCGTCAGAGAAATGCTTAGAGTTAAATGTCAGAGTACATACATGGGAAAAAGTTTTAGTCACGAATGGTAATCCCACTTAAAAAGATGGAGAGCTGTAATTTCATCATATACAGTATGACGACAAATGAGAAATAAAATCAGAGAAAATCACATTAGGATTTTTTGATTTATTTGCAAATTATGTGGAAAATAAGTATTTGGTCACTACAAACGAGCAAGATTCTGGCCTCACAGACCTTAACTTCTTTAAGAGGCTGTCTCACTCGTTCACTGTATGTAATGGATGTGAACTTGTTATCATATAAAGAAACCGTCCAAATCCTCAAACAGTCTCAAACTCTACTATGTCAGACCAAAGTGTCAAGGACACAGAAACAAAATTAGACCTGCACAGCTGGGAAGACTGAATCTGCAATAGGTAAGCAGCTTGGTTTGAAGAAATCAACTGTGGGAGCAATTATTAGGAAATGGAAGACATACAAGACCACTGATAATCTCCCTCGATCTGGGGCTCCACGCAAGATCTCACCCCGTGGGGTCAAAATGATCACAAGAACGGTGAGCAAAAATCCCAGAACCACACGGGGGGACCTAGTGAATGACCTGCAGAGAGCTGGGACCAAAGTAACAAAGCCTACCATCAGTAACACACTACGCCGCCAGGGACTCAAATCCTGCAGTGACAGACGTGTCCACCTGCTTAAGCCAGTACATGTCCAGGCCCGTCTGAAGTTTGCTAGAGTGCATTTGGATGATCCAGAAGAGGATTGGGAGAATGTCATATGTCATATGGTCAGATGAAACCAAAATAGAACTTGTCGTGTTTGGAGGACAAAGAATGATGAGTTGCATCCAAAGAACACCATACCTACTGTGAAGCATGGGGGTGGAAACATCAAGCTTTGGGGCTGTTTTTCTGCAAAGGGACCAGGACGACTGATCCGTGTAAAGGAAAGAATGAATGGGGCCATGTATCATGTGATTTTGAGTGAAAACCTCCTTCCATCAGCAAGGGCATTGAAGATGAAACGTGGCTGGGTCTTTCAGCATGACAATGATCCCAAACACACCGCCCGGGCAACGAAGGAGTGGCTTCGTAAGAAGCATTTCAAGGTCCTGTAGTGGCCTAGCCAGTCTCCAGATCTCAACCCCATAGAAAATCTTTGGAGGGAGTTGAAAGTCCGTGTTGCCCAGCGACAGCCCCAAAACATCACTGCTCTAGAGGAGATCTGCATGGGGGAATGGGCCAAAATACCAGCAACAGTGTGTGAAAACCTTGTGAAGACTTACAGAAAACGTTTGACCTTTGTCATTGCCAACAAAGGGTAGATAACAAAGTATTGAGAAACTTTTGTTATTGACCAAATACATATTTTCCACCATAATTTGCATATAAATTCATAAAAAATCCTACAATGTGATTTTCTGGATTTTCTTTCCTCCATTTTGTCTGTCATAGTTGACGTGTACCTATGATGAAAATTACAGGCCCTCTCTCTTTTTAAGTGGGAGAACATGCACAATTGGTGGCTGACTAAATACTTTTTTTCCCCACTGTATATATACAGTGGGGAAACAAGTATTTGATACACTGCTGATTTTGCAGGTTTTCCCTACTTACAAAGCATGTAGAGGTCTGTATTTTTTATCATAGGTAACTTCAACTGTTTAGAGACGGAATCTAAAACAAAAAACCAGAAAATCACATTGTATGATTTTTAAGTAATAATTTCCATTTTATTGCATGACATAAGTATTTTATACATCAGAAAAGCAGAACTTAATATTTGGTACAGAAAACTTTGTTTGCAATACCCGATATCATACGTTTCCTGTAGGTCTGACCAGGTTTGCACACACTTTCAGCAGGGATTTTGGCCCACTCCTCCATACAAACCTTCTCCAGATCCTTCAGGTTTCGGGGCTGTCGCTGGGCAATACGGACGTTCAGCTCCCTCCAAAGATTTTCTATTGGGTTCAGGTCTGGAGACTGGCTAGGCCACTCCAGGACCTTGAGATGCTTCTTACGGAGCCACTCCTTAGTTGCCCTGGCTGTGTGTTTCGGGTCGTTGTCATGCTGGAAGACCCAGCCATGACCCATCTTCAATGCTCTTACTGAGGGAAGGTTGTTGGCCAAGATCTCGCGATACATGGCCCCATCCATCCTCCCCTCAATACGGTGCAGTCGTCCTGTCCCCTTTGCAGAAAAGCATCCCCAAAGAATGATGTTTCCACCTCCATGCTTCACGGTTGGGATGGTGTTCTTGGGGTTGTACTCATCCTTCTTCTTCCTCCAAACACGGCGAGTGGAGTTTAGGCCAAAAAGCTATATTTTTGTCTCATCAGACCACATGACCTTCTCCCATTCCTCCTCTGGATCATCCAGATGGTCATTGGCAAACTTCAGACAGGCATGGACATGCGCTGGCTTGAGCAGGGGGACCACTGCACATTTTTCCTTAAAATCAGCATCTCTACATGTATGACAGCCATTCCATTCCAGTGTCTGTTGAATTCCAACACAGGCACACCTCATTCTACTGAAATAGGTACTGATTAGGTGAACACCTGAACCAAATCTTATTTAATGAGGAAAAGTATAAAAATCACTGCTGTGGTCATCACTATCCTCTTGCAATAGGACCAGCTGGATGGTAAAAACAGTGCTAATAGTACCTCAAAAGTAATTTTAATAAAAAAATACTATTGACCATGCCAAAAGAGTTCAAAAGGAAAGTTTTGAGTGAGGAAAAGAAGGGTTCAATTCTGGCTTTACAGGCAGAGGGATACAGTGAGCGTCAGGTTGCTTCCATCCTTAAAATTAAAAAGACGGCGGTTCATAAGAACAAGGTCAAGCAGCAGACATTGGGGACAACAAAGCTACAGACCGGCAGAGGGCGAAAACGACTCTCTACTGACCGGGGTGACCACCAACTCATTCGAATGTCACTCAACAACTGTAGGATGACATCAAGTTACCTACAAAAATAATGGCAAACGGCAGCTGGGGTGAAGTGCACGGCGAGGACGGTTCGAATCAGGCTCCTAGGGGCAGGGCTGAAGTCGTGCAAAGCTAGAAAAAAGCCCTTCATCAATGAGAAGCAAAGAAGAGTGAGGCTGAGGTTTGCAAAAGACCATAAGGATTGGACCGTAGAGGGCTGGAGTAAGGTCATCTTCTCTGATGAGTCCAATTTTCAGCTTTGCCCAACACCTGGTCGTCTAATGGTTAGACGGGGACCTGGAGAGGCCTACAAGCCACAGCGTCTCAAACCAACTGTGAAATTTGGTGGAGGATCTGTGATGATCTGGGGGTGCTTCAGCAAGGCTGGAATTGGGCAGATTTGTCTTTGTGAAGGACGCATGAATCAAGCCACGTACAAGGTTGTCCTGGAAGAAAACCTGCTTCCTTTTGCTCTGACATTGTTCCCCAACTCTGAGGATTGTTTTTTCCAGCAGGACAATGCGCCATGCCACACAGCCAGGTCAATCAAGGTGTGGATGGAGAACCACCAGATCAAGACCCTGTCATGACCAGCCCAATCTCCAGACCTGAACCCCATTGAAAACTTCTGGAATGTGATCAAGAGGAAGATGGATGGTCACAAGCCATCAAACAAAGCCGAGCTGCTTGAATTTATGTGCCAGGGGTGGCATAAAGTCACCCAACATTAATGTGAAAGACTGGTGGAGAGCATGCCAAGACTCATGAAAGCTGTGATTGAAAATCAGGGTTATTCCACCAAATATTGATTTCTGAACTCTTCCTAAGTTAAAACATTAGTATTGTGTTGTTTAAAAATGAACATGAACTTATTTTGACCAGTTGTCATTTTCTGCAAATAAATGCTCTAAATGACAATATTTTTATTTGGAATTTGGGAGAAATGTTGTCAGTAGTTTATAGAATAAAACAAAAATGTTATTTTTACCCAAACACATACCTATAAATAGTAAAACCAGAGAAACTGATAATTTTGCAGTGGTCTCTTAATTTTTTCCAGAGCTGTATATTTTTTATGCTTCACAGAATAACTCTTGAGAATAAACCTCAATTTCAGAGAATTCACACAACGCTTCAGTCCAAGACACATAGTAAATATCAAAAACCCCAATCTAGCAAAGAGAAACACAGTCTCTGTCTAAGGTCCAGCAGTCTAAATCAAAGCTCTGACCACTGCCTGAAACCGCTGTCAACCTCCGTCTGAGGACTTGACAACATATCAAAGCCCCAATCCTGCAGGAAAACCACCCAGACATGGCTTGTGTTCAGTAAGACTTGGCCTGCCTCACTTTCCTCTCTACCTCCTCCTCTCCTCTAATCTCTCCCTTTCCCCACTCTTCTTTTATTTTATATTCTCTCTCTTTCTCTCCTGTCTCCTCTCTCCTCCAATCTCCCCCTTCACCACTCTTCTCTTCTCTCCTCCCTCTCTCCTCTCCCCACTCTCCTCTCCTCCCTCCCCACTCTCCTCTCCCCCTCTCCCCCCTCTCTCCTCTCCCCCCTCCCCCTCTCTCCCTCTCCCCCCTCCCCCTCTCTCCCTCTCCCCCCTCCCCCTCTCTCCCTCTCTCTCCCTCTCCCCCTCCCCCTCTCTCTCCTCTCCTCCACCCCTCTCCTTCCTCTCTCCCAGTCTCTCATGGCCTCAGTGTTGTGAGATCTAATTTCACTTCAGTATAAACTGCTAGGCCTCCTGGGAGCTCTGAGGTCCGGGAAGGAGGGCGACAGACACACGAGACCCACCGCAGCGGAGCGGAGGACCGCCGCGCCGTCTCATTCTTTGGTTCAGGCAGTGAGTTGGACGGCCTTCTCCCAAGCCGATATTAAACACAAACAGAAGGTGCCCTCGCCGCAATGAAACAAAGCCCTGATGTCAAGCCGCTTATTTTCCTTGGAGCGTACGAGGAGCGCACGGGCCTCTGGCGATATGAGATCCGCGCTAGAATGTGCTTTGAATGACTGGTGGGGCCTCGCACGTCAATCATTCGTGGCCGCAAGCGTTACTCGCCGCGGTGCATGGCTGCTGATCATACGACTGGGAAGGAGAGGAGAGCTGAGTTTGAGGTATAGAAGCTGAATGTCTCGGAGGCCCACGCACACGCACAAACACCCTGTCTCTCTCTCTCTACTGAGCAAGCATTATGTATGGGAATGAATTAGACAGTTACTGTAGACACTGGAAGTCTGAGCTATGGGCCTCTATCCCCAATCATATTCATACCCACACAAACTTAACTCACACAAACAAACTTTAACATGAATACCCCCACACAAACAGAGATAGCCCTGCCCCTTTCAATATGGCTGCCAAAACAACATCAGACAAGAGCTTCACACATAGATCTGACAAACACGACCGTAGTCGACCGTAACTAGGAAGTCAAACAGTGCAGATTGCCACAGTCATTCATAGCCACATTGAGTCTTGTAAATGTATAATTGGACTATTGTTTACTTGACATCGACCCTATCCTTGCCAATTGACATAATGCCGTTTAAGGAACTGTCGAACAAACAAAAGAGTAAAAAACAGGCCTTTTTCTCCCTTTTCCCGAGAAAAAAAAACACTGCGGGATTGATGGCCGGCTAAAAGCCAATGTGCAACGTAAACAACCCCAATCGGACCTCTCGCTGTTCAGTAAACCCTGAGGGAAGACAATGCGGCAATTTTCTAAATTACAAATTGACAAACAGTCTTCAAAAAGACCCCTCACTGCCTGACTATTGGACAGGGGCTCTGGCAGTTAGTGCTAATTTGACTGAAACTAAATGATGAGTGTCATTTTCATCCATCAATGCTGGTTTTGATAGCAAGGTTAGTGAAATAATACGCTAAGAGAAAGACATGTTCTTGTGCTTTATAGATTTGCATGAGGGCTGAGTACTGCTGATCTAGGATCATTTGTACCTTTTAGATCATAATGAATAGATCATAATGAATAAGACTACATGGATCCTAGACCTGCCCCTAGGGGGAGTGGGAGAATCCCCTAAGCTAGCTAGGTTTCAATTGATCAGGAAAACAAATGGGGTTTTGACTTATTTCAGCAGGTTAGCAAGGAGAGAAGGGGGAAAATGGACTGCCTGTCTGCCTGACACTCACTAAGGAAAGGCTAAATGAAGCACTTCCTGGTGTGTGTGTGTGTGTGTATGTGTGTGTGCGTGCCTGCATGTGTGTGTATTCCTGTGTGTGTGTGTGTGTGTGTGTGTGCATGCGTACGCACATGCGTGTGTGTGTAAATGTACATGTGTGTAAACATTCACAGTAAGCGTGTCTATATATATATATATATATATATATATATATACATACATATATACATATACAGTGGGGAGAACAAGTATTTGATACACTGCCGATTTTGCAGGTTTTCCTACTTACAAAGCATGTAGAGGTCTGTAATTTATATCATAGGTACACTTCAACTGTGAGAGACGGAATCTAAAATAAAAATCCAGAAAATCACATTGTATAATTTTTAAGTAATTAATTTTCATTTTATTGCATGACATAAGTATTTGATCACCTACCAACCAGTAAGAATTCCGGCTCTCACAGACCTGTTAGTTTTTCTTTAAGAAGCCCTCCTGTTCTCCACTCATTACCTGTATTAACTGCACCTGTTTGAACTCGTTACCTGTATAAAAGACACCTTTCCACACACTCAATCAAACAGACTCTAACCTCTCCATAATGGCCAAGACCAGAGAGCTGTGTAAGGACATCAGGGATACAATTGTAGACCTGCACAAGGCTGGGATGGGCTACAGGACAATAAGCAAGCAGCTTGGTGAGAAGGCAACAACTGTTGGCGCAATTATTAGAAAATGGAAGAAGTTCAAGATGACGGTCAATCACCCTCGGTCTGGGGCTCCATGCAAGATCTCACCTCGTGGGGCATCAATGATCATGAGGAAGGTGAGGGATCAGCCCAGAACTACACGGCAGGACCTGGTCAATGACCTGAAGAGAGCTGGGGCCACAGTCTCAAAGAAAACCATTAGTAACACACTACGCTGTCATGGATTAAAATCCTGCAGCGCACGCAAGGTCCCCCTGTTCAAGCCAGCGCATGTCCAGGCCCGTCTGAAGTTTGCCAATGACCATCTGGATGATCCAGAGGAGGAATGGGAGAAGGTCATGTGGTCTGATGAGACAAAAATAGAGCTTTTTGGTCTAAACTCCACTCGCTGTGTTTGGAGGAAGAAGAAGGATGAGTACAACCCCAAGAACACCATCCCAACCGTGAAGCATGGAGGTGGAAACATCATTCTTTGGGGATGCTTTTCTGCAAAGGGGACAGGACGACTGCACAGTATTGAGGGGAGGATGGATGGGGCCATGTATCGCGAGATCTTGGCCAACAACCTCCTTCCCTCAGTAAGAGCATTGAAGATGGGTCGTGCCTGGGTCTTCCAGCATGACAACGACCCGAAACACACAGCCAGGGCAACTAAGGAGTGGCTCCGTAAGAAGCATCTCAAGGTCCTGGAGTGGCCTAGCCAGTCTCCAGACCTGAACCCAATAGAAAATCTTTGGAGGGAGCTGAAAGTCCGTATTGCCCAACGACAGCCCCGAAACCTGAAGGATCTGGAGAAGGTCTGTATGGAGGAGTGGGCCAAAATCCCTGCTGCAGTGTGTGCAAACCTGGTCAAGACCTACAGGAAATGTATGATCTCTGTAATTGCAAACAAAGGTTTCTGTACCAAATATTAAGTTCTGCTTTTCTGATGTATCAAATACTTATGTCATGCAATAAAATGCAAATGAATTACTTAAAGATCATACAATGTGATTTTCTGAATTTTTGTTTTAGATTCCGTCTCTCACAGTTGAAGTGTACCTATGATAAAAATTACAGACCTCTACATGCTTTGTAAGTAGGAAAACCTGCAAAATCGGCAGTGTATTAAATACTTGTTCTCCCCACTGTATATACAGTGGGAAAAAAGTATTTAGTCAGCCACCAATTGTGCAAGTTCTCCCACTTAAAAAGATGAGAGAGGCCTGTAATTTTCATCATAGGTACACGTCAACTATGACAGACAAATTGAGATTTTTTTTTCAAGAAAATCACATTGTAGGATTTTTTATGAATTTATTTGCTAATTATGGTGGAAAATAAGTATTTGGTCACCTACAAACAAGCAAGATTTCTGGCTCTCACAGACCTGTAACTTCTTCTTTAAGAGGCTCCTCTGTCCTCCACTCGTTACCTGTATTAATGGCACCTGTTTGAACTTGTTATCAGTATAAAATACACCTGTCCACAACCTCAAACAGTCACACTCCAAACTCCACTATGGCCAAGACCAAAGAGCTGTCAAAGGACACCAGAAACAAAATTGTAGACCTGCACCAGGTTGGGAAGACTGAATCTGCAATAGGTAAGCAGCTTGGTTTGAAGAAATCAACTGTGGGAGCAATTATTAGGAAATGGAAGACATACAAGACCACTGATAATCTCCATCGATCTGGGGCTCCACGCAAGATCTCACCCCGTGGGGTCAAAATGATCACAAGAACGGTGAGCAAAAATCCCAGAACCACACGGGGGGACCTAGTGAATGACCTGCAGAGAGCTGGGACCAAAGTAACAAAGCCTACCATCAGTAACACACTACGCCGCCAGGGACTCAAATCCTGCAGTGCCAGACGTGTCCCCCTGCTTAAGCCAGTACATGTCCAGGCCCGTCTGAAGTTTGCTAGAGTGCATTTGGATGATCCAGAAGAGGATTGGGAGAATGTCATATGGTCAGATGAAACCAAATAGAACTTTTGGTAAAAAAACTCAACTCGTCGTGTTTGGAGGACAAAGAATGCTGAGTTGCATCCAAAGAACACCATACCTACTGTGAAGCATGGGGGTGGAAACATCATGCTTTGGGGCTGTTTTTTTGCAAAGGGACCAGGGCGACTGATCCGTGTAAAGGAAAGAATGAATGGGGCCATGTATCGTGAGATTTTGAGTGAAAACCTCCTTCCATCAGCAAGGGCATTGAAGATGAAATGTGGCTGGGTCTTTCAGCATGACAATGATCCCAAACACACCACTCGGGCAACGAAGGAGTGGCTTCGTAAGAAGCATTTCAAGGTCCTGGAGTGGCCTAGCCAGTCTCCAGATCTCAACCCCATAGAAAATCTTTGGAGGGAGTTGAAAGTCCGTGTTGCCCAGCGACAGCCCCAAAACATCACTGCTCTAGAGGAGATCTGCATGGAGGAATGGGCCAAAATACCAGCAACAGTGTGTGAAAACCTTGTGAAGACTTACAGAAAACGTTTGACCTGTGTCATTGCCAACAAAGGGTATATAACAAAGTATTGAGAAACTTTTGTTATTGACCAAATACTTATTTTCCACCATAATTTGCAAATAAATTCATTAAAAATCCTACAATGTGATTTTCTGGATTTTTTTTCTCATTTTGTCTGTCATAGTTGACGTGTACCTATGATGAAAATTACAGGCCTCTCTCATCTTTTTAAGTGGGAGAACTTGCACAATTGGTGGCTGACTAAATACTTTTTTTCCCCACTGTGTATATATATATATATATATATATATATATATATATTGCACAAATATGCCCTCTCATACTCAAACCTGAGCCTCATTGAGAACACATCACTATTCCTCAAGT